CTGACACAGACAGGCCTCTGCTCCCAGTGCTCTTCATGGAAAGCGGTTGGGTATGTAGAGAGACAACTGCAGTTGCATGGTTCAGTCCCAGGCTTAGCTACAACAGATGTAGAAACTGCTCCTGGGTGCTTGCCTCTGACTTTGTCACAGTACATAAAAGGAAAAGAAAAATAAAATGGGTAGGAAGCACAATAGACTATTCCAGTTGGAAGGAACCTACAGTGGTCATCTAGTCCAACTGCCTGCCCAGTTCAGAGCTGATAAAAGGATAAAGCATATTAATATGAGCATTGTTCAAATGCCTCTTAAACGCTGACAGGATTAGGGCATCGATCACCTCTCTAGAGAGCCTGTTCCAGTGTTTGACCACCCTCTCAATAAATAAATGTTTCCTAATATATAGTCTAAACCTCCCCTGGCACAGCTTTGAACCATTCCTATGTGTCCAGTCACTGGATACCAGGGAGAAGAGATCACCACCTTTTGCCTCTGAACTTGAAACGTGAAGAGTCAGTTCTTTCCAAATTTGGACATTGACATTTTCCAGTCCCTCCAATTAGAAAACAAGAAACTTTTTGGAATTGCTTCCATGTGAATTATTCTCATTCTACATCTATATTTCCATAAACTGTGTAGCCTTTGTCTTACTCAACACTGAGACAGTAGAGAAAGATCAGGTTTAGGGGCAATTAAGCTAACTCAACCAGATGGGATGCATGCAAGGGTAATGTTGGAGCTGGCTGAAGTTGTTGTGAGACTTCTCTAATCTTTGAAAAGTTATGGTGATTGGGGAAGTTTCTAATGACTGGAGGAAGGAGACATTCATGCACACCTTCAAGAAAGGCAAGAAAGATGATCCAGGGAAACACAGACCCATCAGCCTCACTTCTTTTCCCAGGAAGGTCCTCCTGGAAGCCTAGAAGCACGTGTGCATACCAACTTGGATTTACCAAGGTCAAACTTTGTCTGACCAATCTGATAGCATTTGATGAGATGACTGCTTCAGTGGATGAAGGGAGAGCATTGTCATTTATGTTGTTAACTCCTCGTGCAGGTATGATGTAATAGCCCATCCGTCAGTAAAGGCTGGGGGTCAATTGGCAAGAAAGTAGCTTTGCAGAAAGGACCTGGTTACTGTAGAACACTTTGTATATTGAGCTTAAAGGCATGGTTGTATTTGCATTATAAGGGAGCTCTTTCCCAGCTTTACAGATCTGCTATGCCCTCATTGCCTTTATGTGCTTTTATTAGGAAGAATGGAAAGTTGTTGTAGGGTTGAATTGAAATGTTAAAGGCAAGTTCAGGGTTTGCATGCCCTACCTTGTGACACACAGATTTACTAGGGAATTGAAGAAGGCAAACACTAAGGAGTGTGTAGCCTCCTGTTACGAGCCAATGAAGGTAACGATGGTCCTATGGATTGGGAAGAAGAGTTTATTGACTTCAATTATTTCTTCTCCAAAGCCCAAATGTAATGCAAGTTCTGCAGAATTAGTATCTGTGAAACTTGCTGACAATGTATTGCCATGTACAAGTTTATGTGAAGAATAAGGATCTATTACTGCCAATAGAAACTTCTACCAATAAAGTAGAATTAAAACTCCAGCCCACTAGAAAGTACCCTTTCCATATACTTATTTAGGTTTTGTTACACTGACACAGGTTACCTGTCTTCTATTATTTCAGTATTTCTATTCTGAGCATTCCCATATGCTATTTGGTTCTCTTCAGCTGCGCTTTGAAAGAGTTCTCATTTGAATCAGAAATTGAAGCAGGTAACTTGATCTTCTGGCACTGTCCTTATCGTTTCTTGTCAGACCACCGTTTAACCACTATTAACTCACAAAGATGTTTTCCACTGATAAGTAACTTGCGTTGTTATTGAGATAATTAATTATCAATGCATCGAGGACAGAATGCATTAGAACAGTATCTGTCAAAATCATTCATGCAGGCGATTATCAAGAGGAAAAATAATGCCTAAAAAGGCTTGCTGTGGTTATCTGTAGCATAAATCTGAATCAATAAAAATCAAATCAGGTAATAATTGTCAACGTTTATTACACATTAAGAGCAGGGTACATTGAGAGAAATACACAATACTTTACCTGATACTTTGTACACTTGCTCTTAAACAAGTGAGGCAAGATTTATTTAATCTACCTGTAGATCCCAACATAACAAACTGAATTTGCTGTCCCATGCTCCCTTTACAGACTATGCTTTTACCTTTTGAGAGCTTTGTCTAACCTATTTTAGATATCTCTCTTAGCCCATGGTTAATTGCCTAGGAAGTGCAAAATCCCTTTCACTGAGTGTAAGGGAAGCCTCTACTCATGTGTAAGTCTCTATTTGTTAGATGAGTCCAAGTTACTAAAAACCCCACCAATTTTCAGCCTGATTTTAAGATTTGAATTCAACTTGAAGTATAACTATTCTTTTTATTACAGTGGGATTACACAAACGTGCAAAAAAATAACGTTGTTCCAAATAATCAGATTAACTATAACGTCCACCTCGACTTTTATTGATTCCAGAAAATACTTCACGATACAGCAAAATCCCAACAAATCCAAAATATTGAATACTATCTCTCAATTACTGTTTTACTTATGTTGCACATATTTAAAATAAAAATTAAAAAAGTGTTAATAGTACACACTCAAGCACTCAGAATCTTAAAAATTATACAGGTAATGTCATCTATGAAACCCTAGTCTGGCCCTCTCAAATACTGATATCTCATTACACAGCTTCCCCCCCGCCTTGTAAGGACGAACAATGCTCACATGAATGGATAGTATCTTACTACCACTCCTATGGCTAAGCAAGATCTTAAGTCTAATCTAGGTTTTATATTCTGTATAGAATTACACATTTTCCTGTTTCTTCTGCAATAATACAGATGAGTCTGATGATTAGTTCAGAAATTACTGCTTACCTCCAAAACTGAGGTACTGCTGCCCATGGCAGGGGGGTTGGAACTAGACGATCTTAAGGTCCTTTCCAACCCAACCCGTTCTATGATTCTGGAATGAATTTTTATGCTCAGAAGACTGATGACCAGGGAGATTAACAACCAGAAGCATTAACTACTTCTGAGTTCACTGTCTAAAATGCTTCAGGACTGTTCAGAAATAGGCAATACTACATAGTTTCATACATCAGTACAGTATTTACTGACTTCAGTTGAAAGCTCAGCACTTCTTAGAATCAGATTCAAGAAAATCGCATTTAACTTTGATTCTGATTTTGAATATCCAGTAACAGAGTATCTTTGTTTTGCTATCTTTCCTCAGCATTAGAGACGATATTATATAACAGTATAAGCCTATGTTTTCTGCTGCAGTATTTGCAAGATCATGCCTTCCCTCTCCCCTATTTCCCGTAAGTATTTATCTTCCACTACATGCTAAGGAATCCTATAAATACTACCACCATTTACAAACCATACCTACCCAAGACATTAGGTCCATAGCACAGAACATAGTCTAGCAGAGGACACGAATGTGCTACATCGTAATTAAGTACTGCCGCAACATAACCCTTGAAAAAATGATGAAACAGTTATATAGTCAGAAATTCTAAGCATCTAAATTACATGTAACATTAGAGCCTGTCTTCCATGCCAGACTTCAGCCTGAAGATAACAGTAATTCCATTTAAGATTTTCTTCCCTTTCATTTGTGAATTGATATAAATTACATAGATCTTTATTTAATTTCCTTTATGTATTTCCATCTGCTGTTTTATCTTCATGTTTTGAGTAGTCGGTATTTTAGTCCCTAAAACCAACCAGTTGTTAGACAAAAAAAGGAAGAGATATTTTCTGTTCAAGATTCATATCTAGATGTGGAAACAGTTCAGAAGTTGACATGATCTTTGCTTTAAACAGACAGATTATGCAAAAGTATTTCCTCTTTAGAAATCTCAGTTTACTGAAATCAACTCAAGTCAAGCACACTCTCAGGTTTGAATTCAAAGGACAATGCTCCCATCACTAACATGTAGGAGTTCTTAACCTAAATGCAGCCCTCCTTACTGGTGTAAATCCTGTGGAGAACACAACAAAATCTGATGCATATACAGAAATTGCACTGGTATTTTTAAGTAGAAAAAAAAAAATAAAAATCAGGCATTTCACTAGTAGTTGTTTTAGAGATTCCTCCTACTTGCATGAGTGACCAAGTGAGTATTTTTAACTCAATCTGGATATTAATCTGTGTTAAATCAGTATCTACATCAGCTTGCCATACTTCTAAGTCACAGAATTTTTGTAGGTTGTATGTTCACAATTGTTCCTAAAGTCTAGTCCATCTTGACAATAGTAACATTGATGACTTTGGACATCATTCCAAAAGAAAAGACCTTATTTTGTCAGTCAAAAGCTGTATTCCATTATCAAAATATCCTTTAAAGCAAGTTTGACTTCCAAAGGAAAGATGAACTATTTAAGAGTTTTGATACTTTATGGACTAAGCTAAGTTATATTCAGTTTCAGGTATTTTAAATCATACAGAATTTCAGAGTGGTCTTTATAATGAGACTGTACCTTTCATCAGAAATCTCACTGAGGCTGATGTTGCACATAGCATCCCACCTCGCTGCTTAGAAAGACAAAATGTATTTAACACTATAGGTTAATTTTAAGCAGACATGGGCCTGAGCTTATGATCACCACCTCAGCCAGTTACTAAGAACATCTTCCAGTTGTCATCAGGAAGTTTGATTACCACTGTAAACTCATAGCTCTTAGCTCACGTGATTTTTTAGGCTATCTCCTGTTTGGATATAGCTTCAGTCTTGACAATGAAGCATTGTATCATACTATTTTGTAATAACCTTCTAAGGCTACTGATAAAAGTGTTCTCCAAGCTTTACAGATGTGTATATGCTTCTGTATTTACTGCAAAGACAGTTTCAAGAACAGTGAGCAATTATCTTAGTACTGGGGAATTCACAAATAAGCTACATAAAGAAATACTGTACTTTCTACTATTATTTTTGTCCACATTTATTTATGAGTAAAACAAACAGCAAACGTTACAGCAAAGGGCACATTCAGGCCCAGATTTAAAAGAAGAAAACAGATGCCTGGATAGATTCTGAATTTAGGCACCTCAAGATTGCAGACAAAGCACACAAAAAAAGTGAAAGCCATGAGCATTTCAACAAACTTTGTAAGTGCATTTCAGTATTTATTTAGATGTTTAAGCTCTCGCACTAGATTTTACAAGCTGGTGAACACTGGCAAAATTATTTCTCCCACAGAACTATAACCACACATTCCCAAGACAGTATAAATATATGGTTGAACTAACATTAATACACATCACCATTTTATCAATTACATAATAAAACAAATTATCAAGTATCCAAATATTAAGTTACGCAGCTTGAAAGGCATACAAAATATTACAGAGGTCTGCCCAAGTCATAGCAGAAACTCAAGGAGGAAAAACAAAAGAAAAAGAAAAGAAAAAAAGAAAGAAATCACACTTTCAACAAAGCAATAGTTGGTAAACAACTTTCAATAGGTACAGTAAAATAAACTACAAGATTTTTCAGAAATTTTCTGATTAAGAATTTTTAGCTACAATAACAAAGCATTTCTACGTTTTAAAAAAATATTTACTAAAGTAAAGGGCATATTCTATACTTCCTGCACAAGACAAAGGCAACATTTTACTAGAAATATTAAATAGCCCCTCCCAACCTTTTCAGGCCCTCTGTTAAGTTGCACATGAAGTGCCGACATTAATTTTACTGTAAGGCTTTTTGTCTGGAGACATTAAAGACTTGTGTGCTTCTGTACAATTTAAAAGATTTTCTACATGAGTAACCAGAGAGTAATGATTTGTAAAATGGAGAGGTTCAGGTAACAGAAAAGTACAGATGCTGGGGTAAAAAGTCGCTGTAATTCATAGTATTAAAAAGACAGACTGTGCAAATCCTGGAATTCTAGTGCGATTGTGGGAGACAAAACATATAGTGAGCAGGCAAGACTACCTTAGAGGCCATATTCTTAAATATTGAAATGACTGTAGAAAAGAAAAAAAAAAAAGATAGTAAGGGTCCAGGTAAGCTGGTAGTTCTCACATCATCAGAACTATGCTCATTTATAAGGAAAAACATGTAGCTGATATGCTGGGTATTTTGGCACCTAATCTCTCTACAGATTGATTTATTTTAATACTCCAATTTTTTGTAGTTGAAACTAGGTGGGTAGGACTCAATAGCATGATTAAAGGATATTTGAACCGGTAATTAATGAACAAGGAGACAGCTCAGAAACAAGGTACAGCAGAAACATTTACTTGGTCTCCAAACAGATGGATATTTATCTAAACATAGAAGTTGCATTTCTACTAAGCCTTTAGCCTATTAAATACTCCTAAGGAAGCTTCCTTTGCTACTTAAAAAATATCAGACTGATGTCTTTGGCATGCAGTCTGCTTAATTCTAGTTTCCATCCTTTATTCCCAAAGAAGTACTATAGGCTGTTGAGCTTTACTGAATACAACAATTATTTCGGTGACCATTGGAGTCTTTAAAGCGCAGACGCATCTTGGGGCGGTATTTCTCCAAGTACAGAAGTTGCTTGCTGTTAAAAGCTCCACGCCGCTTCCTAGATGGGGGAAAAAGTATTTGAAACAGAATATTAATCTACTGCCCAATGAAATAATATCACCAACCAGAGAAAAATATTTTCAGGTCACTTAAAAACCCCCACCATCAAGTCAATACTGTGACCAAAATAAGGATAATTAGAAGTGCCAGCAAACAGGGTGGTAGCTTCCTTTCACAAATACCTTACTGAACCACATGCTCAGAGGAGTACACAGCATTTTAGACAGTGTTTTAGCCTCTGATATACACAACCCAAGAATCTTATATGATTATCTTTAGAAGGAACTTCAAAAGGAAGCTATAAAGCAGATGTGAGATGGTGGTCTTAAAGCTGAAGTTACGCACTCTTTTTAAATATCGAGAGTACTGCAGTATTAATGTACATAAACATTATAACTCCCCATAATATAAGCTTAACAAAAATTGAGCTTTCTTGGTTTCTGCAAACCAAAATCATGTGAAAGAAGGGTATATTTTTGTTGAGTGTTTGGAATATGTACCAGGCTTCCTTATTTCTCACTTTATATACACCAGCCTGCTAAGCTATACGTACCAAATTTAATTCTTTCAAGGCTTGGCGACTATGTTTATATAATCTGCAGCTTCTTATAAATATAGTTAATTAAATATATGCAAAATTAAGGCACCAAGACTACAACTGTTCTCATCCAACTTACATACATGTATAAAAAAAACCCAGAAGCCCAAGGAAGTATTTTTCTGCAGTAGACTAGCAGACAAAAACCACACTAGGAGGAACTGTTTAGCACACTTTGATGTATTACAGAAGAAAGGATCCACAAACATGAATGAGTGCTGGCTCTAGCTATTAGACAGAACCTAAATTTCAAAGGTATTCTGACTCTCACATGCAGATAACACTGCAGATCTAACGAATGTTAGTTGTTAGGGGGTTTATTTAGTTTTATAAAAATAAAAACAAACAAACAAACAATCAAGAAAAAACAACCCCAAAAACAAAAATCAAAATTTGCTCAAATAATTACTTCCCGATTCTGGTTTCCACAGGAACAGAAAAAAACCCCATCATACAAACGAAGTCCTACAACACTGCCTGTATGCAGTATATGTGTTAAAAAGGTCAGATGTACTAAATACCTTAAAAAGTATAAGACAAGAACAACATTCAGAATTTGCTTTGCTTTAGTGCCCAAGGACGTTAAATCTTGTAAACAGCTAAATGTTAGCTTCATACTTACTGTCTTATGAATTGCACTGCATCTTCATACTTCATTCCACATTCTATCAGTGCAAGGGCAACCAAGACTGGAGCTCTGGTTAAAAAAATAATATAATAAAAAAAAAAATTAAAAAAAAAAATAAAAAAAGGAAAAAATCAGTTTTGCATTTGCCAGTGCATACTTAGAAAAGAGTTAACTTTATTCAGTTCTCTTTTCTGTCCTTTTCTGTATCTGATATTTCTCCCCTAGGGAAGCAAAAAATACAGGCAGAAGCTGTTTTTCATACAATGGTTTGGGTTGAAAAGGACCTT